GTCCGGCCCGGGCTTCCCTGGGTGGTGTCGGCGGCGAGGATGCGCCAGGTCCCTCCGGGCTGTGCCCTCCGCTGGGCCTGGCACCTGAGTTGGAGAGGAAGCAGCCCGTCACGTCGCCTACCGTATTGAGACCTGCACCCCGGCGGGCGGGCGGGAGGGAGGAGGGAGGAGCTGGGACACGCGCGTCCGGTCCATTTTTGGCTGAAGGTGCGCTTCCTCCTACCCAAGCATTCCGGGACCGTCACAATGCAGCAAAATCCGAGTGCTCCAACGAAGTGGCCCCTCCATACCCCGCGTCCCTCAGGGCTTTCTGATTGCTCGGCTGCTTTGACGTCCGGGCCACTCGGCCGATTCTGGGAGCGCGGATGTGTGGTCTGCCTTGCACACAGGCTGGGCACCGTAACTTCTTCCTTGCCGAATTTTAGCGCGTGGGGGTGGAGGGGCAGCTGGCAAGGGACACAGGCTGCAGAGACGCCCTCGGCTCCAGGCACAGCGCGCCTCAGTCTGCATTGGGCTGACACCCATACAGCGTGGGGATTTTCCTAGTTGCCAGAGATACGATTTGACGTTGCTGTAGTTTTGTTGCTTACTCCTCTTGGGATCTGCAGTGGCGCGATTCCCCCCTTGTGTTTTTTGTTTTTTGTTTTTGTACTTGTTTTTGTTTTCTTCTCTCTTTGAAAAGATAACAATGCTGTGCTCGGCAGAAATGGATACAGGAAGAGCGGCGTAGTTCAAGGATTAAGGGAGGAGGCATCTTCTCTCTTTTCCTGGTAATTAATCACGATTTTATAAGGGCAGATGCCCTACCCGAAAAGGCCAGCCTGTGCACAACCCAGCGGTGTTGTGGTCCAAGGCGTCTCAAAGCAGGTGGCCCGATCTGCGTTCCTCGTCGGCGGACTCGCTCCCGCTGTGGCTATTACGGTAATTCATTCTAGATTGGGGATTCATTTTGAAAATGTGTTTTCCGCTAAGAGGAATTAGAGTCTACATGTCTGTCCTAATATGAACGTGTGTGCCTATTTGGTAGAGAAATAGATTGGGCAGAGTTTCCTGCCCGCCCCCCGGAAAAATGCTACCCCCCCATTGGAAAAATGTATCACTGTTTTAATTCCTAGACCTAGAGGCAAATCGGACTTTAGAGTATTTCATTGGATAAACTATGTTCTGGCTGATTCTGTATTAGAATCAGTAGTCGGCTGCTTTGTGGAATGACAAGTTTTCTTTTTGTCTGAAGAGGTTTTTTTTCAAAGCCAGTTGCCTAAATTTGTTGGGATTATGACATTATTGACTTGGTAGGAAGGCCACATCCCGAGCTGGACCAACCTGTCAGTGCATTAGTATGGAGGGAAGATTGATTATAGAGTATCATTTGGCTTGATTCTGTTTATGCTATTAAAAATGGACATACTAAAATACCACTTTAAGCTTTACCTTCTGTGGATGAGTATAATCAAGCAAATAATAAAAGTCGGATGTGACTATGAGAAAACCACCTCTGTCTCAGTCCTTCTCTGTAAAGTAAGTTGGACCAGTTAATTCCGTGGTTCTTTTTAGCTTCAGCAACTTGAGATAACTAATATTTGGGTTAAAAAAAGCTATGCATCTTAGGAACGGTAAATCATCAAAGCCCAAGCAATAAAAGCAAAGGATTTATTATAGAATTTATGGTTATTTTTACATCTCAAAAATTTTAACTTCAGTGTCTGCATTTTTTCTGTGTAAATGAAGGTAGTCAACAACTCAAATGTAATTTTTTGTCCACTATAGAAAAAGATTGTTGGGGGGAGAAAAATTTTGAATTGGGTTACAGGTTTTCTCCTAAAGATTTAATTATTCATTCCAATCTTGTCTTATATAATTAGGAATTTCCTTATTTCCAGTGATTGATTTTTGTCTGTTTGTTTGTTTGTAATGAAAGACTCTAGATAGCTGCTTCATCCTACGCAATAATTAGCAAGAGTATCAGACATCCCCTGATCTAATTTGATATTGCTTATAAAACCTGTTGGCGCTATTGTGTGTTATGAAAATGAGCCAGGCAATGCTGGTTCAAACAGACAAGCAAAGTGTTTTCATGTGCTTTCAGAAATGTGCTTCCAGTAATTATTACAATTTAGGGACGGTTGAGGTATTTAGTCATTGATTTATGCTTAGCCACACCATTTTTTATAGCTATGCACTCATTTTTTTTAAAGTTACAATCCAGATTCACAGCTCAGAGTAACAGTTCTGCCAGGCCTAATTAACCACTTCCTTGCCTGTTTTACCGTAGCCTTTCATTCATACAGCAAAGGTGGCCCTGATCACACTGCAGTTTCCTGAGTTGCGCCACAGCCTCCTTGTTCAAACATCAGAGTGTTTTCAGGACAAGGACATTGTCAGAGCCATCGCTCTTCTCTGCAGCACCTGGCACTTTGTCAGGTACATGGTAGGCTCTTAGGCATGTTTAGTGAGTGGATTTCAGGTCATATAAATGCCCTGTGAGTGTATAAGCAGGAGGTAGGTGGGAACCTCAGCTTTGGGAATCAGCTGTGGGAATCAGAGGGGTTATGTAAGATGCATAAGGGAATTGATGAGCCAGGACTCAAATCCAGCCCTTCCAGACTGTCACAGAGAGAAGCTCCACCCATTCAGAAAAACAAACAAACAAACATGGTGGAGAGTGTCCAGTTCAAGTGTTTGTAGACTCAGGTTATTTATTTTTGGTTGAATGATCTGGATTCTCCATTTTAACAAAACTGACCTGATGGCAGTGCTGTTCTGTCTTGCCTTGACAGGCGCCTTGTCTGTCCCAAGCATTCTGTCCTCACGCTAACAGGGTGGGCACTCTTCTGTCCATCTTCTCTCCAGGTCTTGATTCCACTACACAGAGCTTGCTAGGATGATGGGCATGGCTAGGGAAGGCCACTCACTAACTGGCCACATGTATCCATCCTCCACTCTGCTTCTGAGAGGACCCAGCAGTTAGGCCAGAGACGCCTGTCATCCTGGGCCAGCCTAGCATGAATGTGTTCCCAGTCAGGCCCATTTCTGTACCAACAAACAGTTGTGACTTACAGGCCTTAAAACCCTTGCCTGCTTCTGTCCCATTTGCCTGCTGCTTTTGTCATTAAAAACAGGAATGGTTACCATTAGGAAATCAGGACGTTCAGTCCTCACCTGTGGTTTCCATACTGCAGCCCCCGCTCCCACATTTAATGTTCATGGACTTTCAGGGACTACAGTGTGAACTAGTCTGGATGGCCTTCCTGTCATTTTTCCTCTCTAATGTTTCATTTCCTCATCTTTAAAAGTAGGACCTGAAGGAGAGAGTTCTAACGCTATGACTTTGTGATTGTTTTTGTTACTTTATTTAGCGATCCAATTGGAGAGTGAAAGATACAAAGAATAATTTACCTTTGCAATATATGTGCTATGTAATATATGTAGAAATACTTAAGGCTTTGTGTGTTCATCTGTCAGCTATCTGATAACCACTTTGAGCCTTTTGTTAATGCTGTTTTTCTATAGATATCTTGGAGCAATTCTTTCTTAAAACTGCATTTGTTCTGTTAAAGGAAAGAGAGCCATATGTGGCGTTACACAAACTTCTTATTGTTTCATCCATTTCTGTTTTCCAGGGCTTATTTCTTAGTGTTGCTGTTCCAAGTTAAGATAACATTAGCTAGACTGAGCTGGTCTTCTGATGACTGGATAGAGGACCTGTCTTTCTCCCAGACTTTCTGGCCACCATTTGAAACTTAAATATGCACTTGTGTCTTAAGGGTTCTTTAAGTACTTTAGAAAGCACAATAACATGTTACTGATTATGTGTATCAAGAGCCTTAATGTGTGGATGTAGGAGCATTGGTAAGGGGCTGATGTTCTCTGTAACATGGGCATAGTAGGAAAACTGATACATACAGGACAGCAATGCTATTACTTATTGACAAAATGGCACAAAGACCACTGGACTTTTAGGTGATCTGGATTTCCATAGCAACAGGCAACGTGCAGAGTCCACACTATTTATCTAAAACAACAATTTATTGGCCCCACACTTGAAGTACTTAATAAGGATGTAGCTCGTGGATGGGCTCTTCCGCGGCTATCAGGCTTCTGTTGCATGTGATATTTTTTTGGGAGAATTCAGTGGCTGAAACTTAAGCTGGTGTTGGTGGGGGGAGTTGGGGTGGGAGCTGGAAAAGGACGCCATCTGTGCCCACAATGACGAATGCTGTCGTGAAGTCTTCACTCGGGGTCCCTTTTATATATTTAGTGGAGCAGATTTTTCGTTTCACACTTTCTAGATAAATTTGTATTGCACAGATGTCAGGGAAATATCATGTGTGTGAAAGAAAAAAAGACCAAAATTCACATCCATGGCCAGGGATTGCAATTCGATCAATTTGTCCTTAAATTGACACCTATTTAATTTGCCTGAATGTTCCCTGCTTCTTCCTGGGGATTTTAGGCAGAGCACTTTGAGAAACAAAAAGCTCAGGGTCTTGCTAAATTGCTGACTTGTCCAAGCTGGACTCAAATTTACAATCCCCTTGCCTCGCCTCCTGGAATGCTGGGATTACAGGTGTGGCAAAAATCTCAGTCTTATACATTATTAAAAGTCACACGTTCAGTTTGCGAGGGTAAAAAGATGCAGAGGCTAGAATTAAACATAAAAGACCTCGCTGTAGTGCAGTGGGTTCCAGGGCTGATGGAATCCATTAGCATCATTTCCCTTCCTGTATCAGATAGGAACACAATCAATAGATTTTTTTTATCTTCAGAAGGACTTCTTTTTTTCTTTACCATCAGTCATAATTCCTTTTACCATCAGAATGTAAAACCACTTAAGTTTTCATCCTCTATTTTGATCACGAGTCACTTTTGTAGGAATTTGCTTTTGGAAGCCGAGAAAAAATTTTGAGGGTTTTGACAGTATTATTTGCTCCTCTCTCACCTCCTCAGTATGGTGCTTCCGGTGCCCTTTGTAGCCCACAACACAGGGCACAGGCCCTGCATATACAGGGGATGATAGTGAGAAATGCTTGGCAATTCAGAGGGACTGAAATACATTACATGTTATTAAGTCTCTCCACTGGCTTCACTTCTTCCTGTGACCAATTTTCTCTTCTCTTTTATAGAATATGCTTCCAAAACGTTATCTGACGGGCTTTCTTCATTCACCCTCCCTTAGCCTCCAAAGACACTTTTGTTGTGTGAGGTTTGGTTTGTACAAACCATGTACTTAACGTATGTGTAAATTATGAAACAAAATAACTCAAATACCCTCTCATCAGTTCACCTGAAGCCACCTCCATTTCTCTGTCTCTTCACTCCTCTCCCTTTCTTGAGAGCCATCTGTGGGACTTTTGTCCCTTTCACTCCGCCTCCCACTGTTCTCATGGTGGTCACCAGTGACCTCTGCCCTTTGATGGACAAAAGCCAACGTCCCAGCTTCCTCCAGGACACAAATTTCCCTGGTTCTCCTGCTGCTTCTCTAGGCCTGTGCTCTGGTTGGCTCCTGAATATTAACCCCTACGGACCTCTTCTGAACTTGGACCTCTCACTGATGATGGGATTCCCCAGGGCTTGGCTTTCAGACCTGTTCTTTTCTTACCTGTATTCCTTCTGTTGATTTCAACATGGTCTTCGTGCTGATGATTCTAAGATTTTTCCCAGCCCTGACTCATTCCCAGAACTCCAAACTTTAATAGGCATCCACCCAGTACCTTCCCTTGAATACCACATAATCTTAAAATGAACATGTGCAAAAATACTTCCACATATTGTCACTCCCCAAACCTGCATCTCCTCCAGTGTTCTCTGACTCTCTGGAAGGGCAACTCTGTCCATCTCGTGGCTCAGGCCGAAGTCCTGCAGCTCCTCCTGACCTCTTTGTCTCGGTAACTTTCAGAAAATCTCTCTCTCTTCCTTTCAGT